ACGCTATTCTTATTTCTCTCTCTCTCTCTCTCTCTCTCTCTCTCTCTCTAAGTGGTCGGATTCGAATCTACCGATGTATTTTTCACGCTGCGAATATTCTTGAAAGTATAGAACTTTCAAACGTGAGAGTCGTAAGGTATTTTCTTGTAACGAAATGAACATTACTTACTAGGAAAAAATTGCCAGCAAGATTTTGCTATTTTACAAAATAGTATAAATGTTGGATTTCAAGAGGATTTCAGATGTAAGATCTGGTAATAGAATATAATGAATATTGCTTGACGAGAAAAATTCTCAGCTGAATTGCAGTATTTCACGCAGGGTATTCTTGAAACAAGCAGAGAATTTTCAACGAGAGTCATGAAATATTTCCTTGCAATAGGATGAACATTATTTTACAGAGAACTTTTAGCTGAGCTACAGCTCGTATGTCCGACGAAAGAGAATATTTCTTTCGAAATACAAATTTTAATTCGGTTTCTCAGGAACAGAAAGTAACTTTTTCGTCGAAATTCTCGATAGCGTAACTCTCGATTGCGATGAATCTTCCCTGTGAGTTCACTTTCGAAGGGAATAATCCAATCGAGTTATATTTAAAATTACATTTCGTTCAAACAATTGAATTAATTTTCTTAGAATAATCAAATTGCTTTAACAAGATTCATACTCAAGACCTGACTTGTATACAATAAAGCTTGGAATATTAAAAAAGAAATTAAAACAAACGAATGAAATACCTTGTACGCTGTTCTTGATAGCACGGGAATTGAATCCCGATCGCTGCTTTAGCTTTAGGATTTATACCTGCTTTCGAGCAATTAACGTAAAACCAACGAACACCATTCTTCGCCAGTATTCCCGTGCGCTGTAGGTTCCTTTTATCCCGGTGACTAAAGTACCCTGACGACAGGCACACGTCATGCGGTTTCGCGCACACACAGGCCATTCGCACACCTTCCACACCAGCTGCTCAAAGACATTCCTCTCGCTTTGACCTTGGCACAAAGTATCACGAACCCCTGATAGTACTTGGAATGAAATTTCCTCGAGAACCCTCGATAAAGCACTCGTACACGAGCAGAGGCTCGTTTTCGACTCTCTCTCTCTCTCTCTCTCTCTCTCTCTCGTTCTCTCAGCTCGAAAACCGCTGACCATCCCACGATCAGCAAGGTCCACTCTACACTAGGCCACAAATTCCACGACTTAGTGCAGAGAAGAATTCGCCTATGATTATGCATTACCGTACGAAATTGAATTATGGCGCGGATGATAGAAGGAATCGCGGTGTGTAAGCCGTAAGCGAGAGTGCGGTTTCGCCAAAGGAGACGACGCATTAGAGTTGGTCAGACTCCATCATAGAGCTATAGAGACTTGTCGTCCCATTCGTTTTATTTCACTTTTAACTTCGTTGAAAATTCCTGAAAATCTGCCAACGATATTTCTTTTTCTTGTTTTCTTTTTCCTTGCACGTCGTTGCGCTGAACGATCCGATGCAGTTCAAGGTATAACGAGTTATTAGAGTTGGTCTACCATAGGTTCCTTTCACCATAAAGTATATAGTATCTTGTCGTTTCGCGTTCGTTCTGTTCACTTCACTTTTAATTTCATTTTCTGAATATCCATCAACGAATGGATATATTTCTTTTCCCCCCGTCTTCTTTTTCTTTCTGCACGTCTGCACTGAGAACGATCTGACGCAGTTTAAGATATAGCAAATTGTAAAATATTTATTTGTGTTACTTTGTATTTCTTTTTTTTTGATCGAAAAGAAAATAAGTACTGCGTATCAGTCTTAGAAAAAAAGTTGCACAGCGTTTGTCTTATACGTGTACTCTTCAGACCAAAATTTTAATCTAATTAAAATTCAAAGCATTTCAACATTAACTTGAATTAAGGGATGAGGGATACTTCACGATTATTCTCATTAAAAAGTGTCATTCGTTTGAAAGGTTCTTTTAACATCTTTCGGGATATATTTGAAATGACAGTTGTCTGTAAGGAGAGTACGTGTCATTCATTATAAAACTATCATTATGGAAATTTTACAAATGATTTTTGCAAATGTTTAAACGATTAAACGATCCTTGTCGAAACTTAATATTAATTTCTGTGCTTGGGCGTAAAAAGCACAATTCTATAATTATTATTTACTTTAATTATCGTTTAAATTACAACGATTTATATTAGAATACTGTTCTTCCAATGTTAATAGATCTTTTCTTGGCCAATCAAAGTCAACTAACTGTCGATACTTTCAGAAGCTTCTGTGAAGCTGAGAAGTCGGCACACTCGTCTAGAGTGTTTCATTTCAAACGAATAAACAAACAGAGATACATTCCCTTCATATACGTGTTAGCTTGGGACAAGCGTTTATACAATCTGCATCATTATCGTGAATAGCGTATAACCAGGGACAACCGCAACTCGTGTATAAATTCGCTATCGTGACCACAGTGCACGCTACGTCTCGCTGTCTGCCAGGATGTCCTGGTAGGCTGCAATGGAAGGCAACCGACGAGTTCTCCAGGAGGATACGTGCATTCTGACCCCGGAACAGAATATCGCGAACTGTCAACAGTAATACGCTCGTCTCTTGTCCACGCCACTGACCACACATAGGCCATTCATCTTGTTTTGGCTTGACTGCTGCCACTAACTTGATGACGCCCGCCGACATCTAATGACAAAATGTACATTTACTTTTCGCCCATCCGTTGTAAATCCCTAGAATATCTGCCTGTCGCAGAAGAATAAAGTTGTTTTTTTTTTTTTTTTTTTCTTTCTCTAAATCTGCTCGCATTTACGGATGAACAATCTGTGAAAAGAAAGATCTGTGATTTTCTATGTGAAAATTAGTAGAATTTATACGCGGTCAATGATATATAAACAAAATATTTGAACCACGTTCGAATTTCGTAAAAAGAAAATTGCACTAAGACTGTCTTTTTTTTTTTTTTAATCTTCAAATGTTATATTTTCGTTTATTTTATTCCAATTCGATTGTGAATTATGAATGTATGAATTGGCGAGTTGATAAGTGAGCACAATTTTTCAGTTCTGTGAAACAACTAAGCAACTCTCTGAAATTTTCCTGCATGATCTTTCTTTCTCATCGATTTATTGAACTTTGCATTTGTTGAAGTTGCTTAGACAAAAAAACGAACGAAATTCTTTGAATTTTCAAAAAAATTGTGAAATCTGTAAAAAAGGAGGCTTCAATCTTCGAATCCATTGTGTAGACTCTGCAACGAAGAGAAATGTCTTCACATTTTCGAGGAACGCTCATTCAGTTGCTTCACGTGGAAAAACATCTTGGAATAATCGAGATTTCAAAATAACAACGCGTTTATTGTCACGATTTTATTTTACGAAATTGTTCTACACAACAGGAAGATTCTATTACATTTGGGCAAAATAATTTTGCAAGAGAGCAGTCCTCGGAGAAAATCATTTTCCGTACGAAAGTTTACGAAAAATTCAAGAGAAAGATAAATGAAATGAAATGAAATTTACGTAGATTATTGGACACTCGAAATTGGGTTAAAAATTCAAACAAGTTGATTCTCGATTCCGATTAGAGATAAAAGGACCGTGTAATTTGGAACTTTGGATGAAAATCACTTATTTACGTGTGCAGCTCGTGAAGGTGGAATTTATTACTCGTAAATTTTGAAACGTCTCTAATCTTCTCTACCTGCAAAAGCTTCTTCGAAAACCATTCCGACTGATCGTCTGAGCCGCCTCATTTAACAATCCGTCATTGAAACAGGATTAACTCGATGATATCAGATGCACTTTCGACGTTGTGGAAAATAATTCCAATTGTAATTGCGATTGCAGACGCGGCTAATGGCCCCCCGTAAATTTTCAATGGGCTATCCAAGTCGGCCGCGGCGTGCTTTTCATAAAACTTGAAACGCAAGTTTACCAATCGAGAAGAGCGTGCTTAATATTTTACAACGCTGTGTGCAAAGCAACGCTAGCGAAAGTCAATGAACGCCCGGCGCCATTGTGAAATTCGTAAAATTCTACGCAACGGTGAATCAACCTTTGAATACCTCTAAATTTACGAGGTATTGTTGAAGTAATTGCAATTCACCGCGCAAACAATAACTTTCTTCTCTTCTCTCTTTTCTTTATTTATTTATTTGTTTTTACCCTTCTTTGTACCGTCGGCCGGTGCGAAAGAACGTGCAAACACGCCGAAAATAGAATGAAACTGATTAAATAATAACGACGCGCGTGTATTTCACAGCTGAATGTTGCCCGATTTGTTTGATTCACATTAAAGCGCGAGGGGGGTAATTGAAATCGTATTGTTATCGAAACTTGATACGCGCTAGCAATTTTAACAAGTGAGCGTTAACCTGATGATGGCCAGAGGCTTCTGTAATTGGAAAGTTAATTACCACCGGCAAATTAATGTCAGTTCTTACGAGTGTTTTGTACGATAAAATAAATATAATTCATTTAGCATCACACTGGTGCAGGATTTTCCCTCGTTTGTTTTTTAGGTGATCGGAATTCAGTTGGCGTTTCACGCGATTAAAATTGTTCGTTGTCTCGTTAATTCTTCACCCGAGATTATTCTTCACCCAAAATTAAAGGGAAGAAAGTTAGATTCTTGCGGCAATGTTGATTTAAATTCAATCGGATGCTTTGAAAACAACAGGAATAAATTTTCAGCTGTTACACATGAAGTTGTTATTATTTACACGTTGTTTATAACTCGTTATTATCCCTTGATTCCTGAAATTAAAAATTAAATTCATGTTAGGGATGAACTCTTTTATTTATTGAAATTTAACGTAACAACTGCAGAATAATTCGTCAGGCGATATTATATGAAATTAATCCAATTTCTCTACACGTTGTTTCCCAAATTCATTAACGACATCGTTTAAATGAATCTTTACAACAGAATCCAACATTCTTTCGCTAAGATGGATCAGACGCTTTGAAAATAAAATGTTCAGCTGTTAAATAAAAAGTTGTTATTATTAACAGATTGTTGCAATGCACCCTCGAGCATGAGCACTAGCTAACCTCGACGTTGATTCTGAAAATGACGTTTCAGAAAGAAAGTTTCAGAAGTGGAAATTATTTCAAACTTTTTTTTCCCCGTGTCTACGTAAGAGCGAGCATTCAAACGAAATGTAAACCACATCATTAAAGTGAAATCTCATTTTTCGAAGCAATGAAACGATTAATTTATCGTATCACGCGAGACATTTTTTTTTTTTTTTTTCTTTCATTATGATTCTACCACGACAATATTCCTGTCTGTCAAGCATGTTTTCTAAACCGCGCTCTTACTCGTTCCTCTCGCGGCGGAGGAAGAATTATTATTCACCTGAAAATAGCCATAGCAGAAGAAACAAAAGCTCGCGTAGAAAGGTTTCGCGAAGCTAAAAAATTTATGAAACAGCTTACTTAGACGTAAATAAAACGCACTAGATCGCTTTATATGCTAATACCACGGGTCCGCGAGGGCGTGAAATACACTCGTGTCAGTTGTTGACCCGCTAACCCGAGCCATTGCATCGGCACGAATCCTGCCTCTGTTAAGATATCCCCGTTCGAAATACAGATAAAGAGCAATTTGAATGACAAAAGAAACGCGTGGCATTTGATTTTCCGCGACGTAAATTACGCCGCGCCATTCGAATTCAAGTTTCGAAATGTCGAGTAATTTAGTTACTTCGTGTCTCTACAGTTCTCTCCTTTTTTATTATTATCTTTTTAACTAAGTTAGCTAAGTTGAGTCACTTTTGAAATTTTAAAAGAATACTAAACTCGTACTATTTCTGTAAAGTGTACGAGGTGGACATTGTTAACGAGATAAACATATTATGATAATAACGTCAGAGGTTTCTGCTTTCTAGAAATTTTTATCCCAGAGAAGAGTTGTAAAACAGGGAAGAGAAATCGAGGAATGAAGACGTCAAGCAAGCCTGGGACTATTTAATGAAGAAATAAATTTTATTTTAAAAAGGAGGAGCATGCACAGGTAGAAAGAAAAATTTAACACCAGAACGATCGAAACGATCAAAATGATTAATTCGTAGTTTTAGAATTTACAACATTACAATGAAGAACATGATTATTGTACCAATGATAAATTGGAAAATTATTGATAATTTAAACGGATCTCATTTTTAAAGCGTGAATCTTTAAACTGCCGTGAGTTTCAGAAATTGTAGAAATTCAAACGCGTTAAAAAATTCTCTCCCGTTAAAGCTCGTCGATTTGTCTTCGCCATTTTACTGAATCTCGGAATTAAACGACGAAATGATTTCTTGAATTTTTGTCGTTTAATATTCAACGCTCGATAAAATGGCGGAGGGGGGAGGGAAGATCGCGCGGCTCGTTGTGACGAGAAAATTTCAATTTTCGCGGCCGCGGTGAATTTAGTCGTGAAAAAAAAAGGTTTTTTCATCGCACGAATAATTTGAGTTTTCGCGATTTCCAAGGGGAAGGGGAAAAAGCGTACTCGAAATTGTCGGGATAGATCTCTCATTCTCATTCGTGCGATCGTGCCTTTTTTTACTTTCGTATGTTTCCAAGAATGTGAATGATCCATTGACCTCCACGGTGGAGATCTCGCGAGTTCGAGTGTTAATCGAACGATCGTCGAGATCGAAGTCCAGAAAAAAAAAAAAGAAAAAAAAGAAAGGGATAGCAAGGTTCTTCAAACCGAGGTCTGTGATTCCATTAAGGATCCTTTCCACGAGCTAACGAGTCTTTACAGAGCTTCGTTGTGCCGTCGATTGGTTGTGCTCAGCTAATATTACTGATCCCTACTCTACTTCAGAAACAAGTCGAACCGTTTCCGTTGATCCGTTCTGCCAATTCGAAGTACCAAGCTTTTCTCGCTGCTGCTAATTGCAAGTGAATCCCTTAGATCGACGTGACTCCTCGCGATGATTCCTCACTGACTAGTATAGTAGCAGTAAAATCGGTTGGCTCGACCGAGTATCATTATCGTATATCGTCTCGTCAATTCGTAGTTTATCGACTTGGCTGTTGCCGAAGTGGAAGGAGAATGCCGGACGAGTTTCAGTTTCGAACGACAGTTCGTTGAAACAACGAAACTTGGATTGATACGCAGAGCAACGCTCAGACTATCTTAAGAGCCTGTTGTCGATCCCCATTGAGTTATCGTTAAATAATTCACACGCCGAGTTCCTGTTTCTCGGCTATTCCGCTTCCGTGTGCGAAACTGAGATTAATTGAAAAAATTGTGGATATTCAGGGAACGGTGTTGATGAAATTGAATTTATTTATCATGTAATAAATTAAAAATGAAAAGGTTGCGTAGTAGTGTTTGTCTTAAAATCAACATCAATAACTTCAACACAATAACTGTTTTGATTACAAAATACAGGGATGTAATCGTTAAATAAGATTAAAATATAATTATTAATATAAAATTTTAAATCAAATGAAATGTACGCACATATTGCCATGTTCGGAGTGTTTCTCTCACAATCAATGCTTGTCTCCTCGACAAGCAACTATAAACGATCAGTTTAATGCTTAACGAAGTTTTATAATTTCAATGAATTCCAGAAAATCACGCAGACTGAGATTACAAATTTCATTGAAAGACGTATATCACGATGATGGTATTCCCGCGTACTTATTGTTAGAACAAATTTGATGTAATTAAATTCCCTCGAGTTTCGATTGTTCGAATTGTCAGAAAGTTTTTAGTACTAAGCTAAATTACAGATAAGCGAATCTTAATTGAACTTATTCCTCGAAAAATCCATCCAATTTGAAATACATGCGAGTACAGTTAGATTAAGCTGAGCTTAGGGGGAATTCACTTCTATTGATACTTGAATTCGTAAATACGAACGATGACTCCGATCTGAGCAAGAGAATCTCAATGATCACTATTGTTCGCCGATGTCGCTTATACATCTTAATACCGTTTGAACGAATGGCCTCTCCTTTGACGTTCGACTGTGCTCGACGTCATTTACATCAATTTCAAGATAAATACGCCCATCAATTCCCCCGTTGGAACTATCTGTGTGGCTGTACGGTTGTACGATACCTCCATTGAATTATCTGAGTGTAAAACTGTGTAACGCCATTAGAATAAAAGTCCGTTTGTCCTCGTCCCTTTATATATTCTAATGAGAACCTTCATTTAAACTTAGTATTTCCAGTGATGCTTTACACTTCAACTTTCTTTTATCTGGCTTCTTGACGTGTATACTCTCGCGGGGCTCTCTCTCTCTCTCTCTCTCTCTCTCCTACGTTTCAGTTAAGTAGCTGATATGCACGAAATAGCGCCTCGAGGCCGTTTTATACCAGCTGTCACTATATCACAATTACCGGACAGTGGGAATTATTTAGCGATGCCATTTACTTCCCTCTTTTCTGCTTTCTCTCTCTCTCTCTCTTTCGTTTGTCAATATTATTTCTGACCGTCGCGGCAAATTTTTGTCAGTAACAATTAGTTAGCAATGAAATATGCCTTTATACTATTTCTCCTTTTTTCTTATTATTATTTCTTCTTTTTTTTCATCTAAAATAGAAGTTTAGAAGATTGGATAAATTTTTTCGAAGAGAGAGTGTAGAATATCTCTCTAAAATGAAGAACTGATTTATTATATTTATTTCTCTCGCGTGTAAAGTTGGCTGTGCATAGACCGAGAAGATTTGATTTATTTATTTCTCTCTCGTCGTGCGACGAATCAGTCGACTTCATTTTACAGTTTTCGTATTCAATTAAGATATATGAAGTCCTGTCCCTTGGAAAATTGATAATATTAATTTCAACCTATTTTCCGCGACTGAAAATTGATAACGATTAATCGAATCGAGGGATCTTTGAAATAATCAAGAAATCAATTTCACGTTCCCGGTAATTTCTAATGGTATTACATCGCGGGAATATTTCCCGAAAATGTTGCATCGAAGCCTCGGTTATTGATGGTTACTGGCGTAAACGTTCCAATGCACGCGTGCATGCGCACGTAGCGGAAAATTGTCTAGAAAATCGTAATCACAGTCAGTTTCCTGTGAAGCTGTATCACGAGATCCACGAACATCTTCCACAAGGAGATTCAATAAAGGAATTTGTATAGAGATAGGTATAAAACGACGAAATTCGAACTTCTCTCCTTCTAATTTTATATTAATTAATATAGACATAATTCCACAATTGGGACGGGATATATAGATATAATTTTTTTGTATTTAATTTTAAAATTAATAAAATTAATTCAATTTTATCCATTTTCATATTTATATTTATTTTATACAATTTCAATCGATAATCTTAATTATAGTATTACAAATAAAATTTTAAGCTGCAGATTTAACACGTTCCATGCCATATGTACCACCGGTGGTACACGCATCATATTT